AATCGGAACTTCGCACAACTCTCCCGGTGTGGACGATTACGTTTCGAAAACGTAAAACGCAAAATAATTTCGCGTTTTACATGAAAAACGCATAACATGTTTTACGCGTTATTCACTGCTTACATAGGTTTCCACGAAGTGAAATGCGAAATGTGTTTTTCATTTCACATAAGAAACTCCACTACTTCACAAAACTTGTCCTGCTGAATCGGTTCGTTTCTATACCATCTTTTCTACGAAAAAGTATAAAAATATTTTTTGTACACCGAGAAAAAATTCCCAAAAAATGTATCTTTTGCTCAGCTTCTCATTGTTTTCAACAACCCATAATATACTTCAAACAATTTAATCCGAACGATTATTAAACTGGGAGAATTATTCCGCCAGGGGAATTCTTACACAATTGGCGTCTTCCTCTGATCATTGAACTCGTCAAATCTTCTCAAAAAATGCACATCTCCGCTTCGCCCCATTCCCGGTCGATAATAATACTCCAACGATCCCGCCCGATATTTACTAACAACAACAACATCCCCCTCCCCCAAATCGATCAACTGGGCGCGCGCTAACTCACCTGAACCCCATACCCACCACAGGCCCCGTCATAGCTAGATTGGTCACAGCCGGAATCGCCATATGCGTCATTGCATAGCAAATTGCTGGGCGATGACTGAGAACATATAAAAGATAATTTTATCGCTCGCCTGAATCAAAACACCATTACTTACAGGCTCGGTAGTGCATCTTTAGTGAGTCGGAAAACCTTCACATTTTCATTGATACCATCTGAACAGATCAACTAAGTTTTCCCATATACGGACGAAGAGTCGGAAAATTTCACCCACGAAAAAACGTTGAAAAACGTAGCTGTTATTGGAATGGGATCAGTGTTGGAAGAATATATATTCTCTTTCCTCAGCTGAGCTCAGGAGCTCTTCTCCCGTTATCGACGTCAACACGTGTGATTGATTCGAACTGCAAACAATTGTGGAAATTTTCAGGAAAAAAAGACGGAAAAACTCGGAAAATTTACGGAAAAATATAATCATGAAACCCTCTCGTAAAAAAATCACAAAAATCGTGATTCGTTTTCCTACAAAAAATACGACCGAACAGAACCTCCCCAAAATAGTACCCTCCCATTTAGCGCGCGCCCATTTCTCCATGTAGTCTACCATAGCCTGAGGAATGATAAAGATTTTCAAATAATACAAAAAAATAAATGGAAAAATTCAAAAATAATAAAAAAATGATGGGAAAGAATTAAAAAAAAGAAAAAGAATCAAAAATAATAGGAAAATTTTGGAAATATTCACGAATAACTAAAAAAAAATAGAAAAAGATAGAAAAGAATCGATAAAATTTTTTTTAAAATACCATCACATCACAGCCATCCCTTCTTACCTCCATTTCCTCCTGCTCCGACGGCGTGAGCTGATCAACCTAAAAATACCCCAACATATATTCGAACCTCCGCGGGATACGACCGCTGAAACTCTTACACCCACGCTTGTCCACTCCACCATACTTACTTCATATCCTTCAAAAAAATACTCCGCCATCCATATTTTCACATTCCCCCTTTTCAAAGCTTCCACAGGAGCACCACTAAACCAACTGATGCAAAAAAAGGAAAATATGCACTGTTGGTGACAATATTTATATGCAATAAAAATGGAGTTTCACCCGTGATATGAAAAAACACATTTCACATTTCACTTCGCGAAAAACGCATGTGAGCAGTGAAAAACGCGTAAAACACGTGATGTGTTTTTCATGTGATATGATCTACTTCGCCAAGTATTTTCAATTCACTTCAATCGCATCTTTCACATGGAATATTAAACTACGCGAGTAACTAAAAAACCAAACGATTTTCTCGAAATATTTTTTTGTATAATCGTTCGGGTAAAATCGCGCGCCCAAATAGTACCTCGAAATCTCCGCTCGCTGTAAAGCACGAACTCGGACGGCCTTTTCTTCGCTTGTCTCTGAACACAAAATTCATCACAAATACCCACCAATAATCGTTCATACCCTTATCGGAATAAATAACCCACCATAAAACGTTAGCATCTCATCATAATGTACCACAATGAAATTTTCGCGCGCCACAATATTTCAAACTCTCTAAAACAAGTTCACGACCGTATTAGATTCTCGCTTTCTCCAAAATCAACTCCCAAATTCACGGTTACTTCCTTTTCAAACAGATACGATTTCATTCATGCCATACCACTCTTTCACCAAATCGCTCAATGACACATACGCATTACCCTATATCATAAATGCAAAAATATATTATTTCTCCAGGGACATTCATTTAACAGCAAAACACCAACTCTGGTAAATCACGTCTACTATCAGCAGCGAACGGAATAACTTCCATCAAGTTTCACGAGCAGCCGTGATATGAAAAATAACGCTAGTGACGCAATATTCGCGACTACTGCATATCACCGCGTTTTCACATGGAGTATTAACCCATTTCACATGAAACAGGTGAAACTCCATTGTTATCTATATTATTAGAATTTCACGGGCGGCCCTAGTGATATGAAAAACATATCTCACAACTACTGCATTTCACCGCGAATATCGCGTTTTTCACCCAGTTTTACACCACTTCACGTAAAACGGGCGATTTAACAAATTAATTCACATCATACCACCTTTCCACCAATTCCCCTACTACTACCCTCCTCTCCATCATCTCCTGCACTATCCGAAAACCCCGACATCCAGCTCTGCACGCGTACCATCAGAGAGGTCGATCCCCTTCTACCAGGTAGCCTCGGTGATACTAGAGATATGCAACACCAGTATGGAAAAATATGAAAATTTTCAGGAAATTTTTCAAGGGAAATTCACATTGATTTCTGTACGTTTCTACCCGAATTCGTACGTAAACTCCTGAGCTCAGCTGCGAAAAACGATTACATATATTCCTACTCCAACACTGTGGTCAACCACATCTCTTGGTGATGATAAAATGAAAATTCTGTGGAAATTTTTGAGCAGAAATTCACATTGGAGTGTCACCCGTTTTACGTGAAGTTGCGTAAAACTCGGCAATATTCGCGGTGATATGCAGTAGGGAAAGTATGTTCTTCACATTACGGTGCGTCAAACTGCAATATATTCCCAAACCAAACATGCACCACATAGGAAACCACTCACCCTCTCCAGAAGGTAAGAGTAGTCGGCGACCGCGTTTTCGACTTTGGTCGTTCTCCCACAACTTTACCAGATTCTCACTAGATGCATATCGTGTACCGCACCGTCGTGCACCTGAAAAATAAATCCAACAACAAACATGTGTAGAGGAAAATATGCACATGGTCAACTACATTGCATCGGTAACACTACTAAAATTATGGTTTCTGTATTACACTTCTACCCAAATTCGTATATAAACTCCTGAGCTCAGCAGCTGAGGAAAGCGATTACATATATTCCTACTCCAACACTGTATAGGAAACTCCTGAGCTCAGCAGCTGAGGAAAGCGATTACATATATTCCTACTCCAACACTGTATAGGAAACTCCTGAGCTCAGCACCTGAGGAAAGCGATTACATATATTCCTACTCCAACACCGTATACGAAACTCCTGAGCTCAGCAGCTGAGGAAAGCGATTACATATATTCCTACTCCAACACTGTATAGGAAACTCCTGAGCTCAGCAGCTGAGGAAAGCGATTACATATATTCCTACTCCAACACTGTATAGGAAACTCCTGAGCTCAGCGGCTGAGGAAAGCGATTACATATATTCCTACTCCAACACTGTATAGGAAACTCCTGAGCTCAGCAGCTGAGGAAACCGATTACATATATTCCTACTCCAACACTGTATAGGAAACTCCTGAGCTCAGCAGCTGAGGAAAGCGATTACATATATTCCTACTCCAACACTGTATAGGAAACTCCTGAGCTCAGCAGCTGAGGAAAGCGATTACATATATTCCTACTCCAACACTGTATAGGAAACTCCTGAGCTCAGCAGCTGAGGAAAGCGATTACATATATTCCTACTCCAACACTGTATAGGAAACTCCTGAGCTCAGCAGCTGAGGAAAGCGATTACATATATTCCTACTCCAACACTGTATAGGAAACCCCTGAGCTCAGCAGCTGAGGAAAGCGATTACATATATTCCTACTCCAACACTGTATAGGAAACTCCTGAGCTCAGCAGCTGAGGAAAGCGATTACATAT